ACAAGATTTTCTTTTGCTTCCCTTGCGATTTAGGGGGCTCATGAGTGCCAACTCTGTGCATTTTTTTAATGGTGGCTGCTTAATTAAGGAGGGGGGGGGGGGGGTTACAAGACCCCTCCCCCGAGAGTCGCCCTGCATACATTTAACTGAAGTATCTTTATGTCCTTCTCAAGCAGCACAACGAAGCAAGAGCAGACGGCATTTTATCGCCACATGTGTTCAAATCCGTCCATATTGATTTGTCGACAATTTTACGGCGACCCTAAATGTTACGACAAAGGGAGCCACCGTATGTGAAGCTGCTCTGTGGTGCATGGATTGGGCAGGCAATTAGGAAGAGGCAGGAAGAGGCCAAATTTAACCTGTTACCTGCATTCAGGTAGCCTTGAAATATCAAACAGTGTTTAAATATGCTTTTTTACTGCATGTTTATACGGTTCAGTCTGTACACATCAGATTGCTTGATTACGGAGGCAAAATGTTGTCTCTTACCCAATATCTGGTCATCTGTTACAAGTGCTGTTTATACTATGCAGTCTAGTGGTGTATATCTGAGTGATCACTTCCTCTTTATAATATATAATTAACCAATTTTGCGTCAAGTACAGTTTGAACTACTGAGGATTTACTCCACAGTTTCAAATTAACAATTCAGTATTGCTGAACTGCTAAAAACATTTAGATAGATGAAAGCAATATAATATAGATTCATAAATCTGCATGACTTCGTTATATTCCAATAGCTTGTGTTATCCTCGGAAACAGGATTGCTGCCACAGGACACCAGGCACGTATCCGTGTCCGTAAAAGTTATGAGAAGTTTTACCGCAGTCCTCGGATTGTTTATTTCATTCAGCAAAACCTCCCTCTTTATGCACTGTACGTTTTACGTGACCTCCAGTCAACAAGAGCTGTGCATGAACTGAAAATGTTTCAAACAGTCGCGTAAAAAATAGAACAACCGCCGCACAAAGACATCCCATGGCATAAAAAAAGACTACTGACGTGCAATCTGGAGTTATATTTAGCGTGAAATATTTACAGGGATCAGGGATTTTGTTATTCATCAGGATTTCTGTTTCAGAAACACAACAGATTGCTTGCTTCAAAAAAATTCAATCACACTTTTAAGAATTTCATTTTTTAAACGAATTGTTTTATAAAAACGGATTAAATAATTTTAAAATTGCAAATTCGGCAACTGAAATATAGCAGAAAACTGTTATTTCCGCTTAAATGGAAAATAGGCTACTTTAATAAACGACTCGAATTCCAAAATTCAGCCAAAGTTGTTCACATGTAATACGAGTCTATATCCCCCCCCCCCCCCCCCCCCCCCCGCCCGCCCGCCCCTAGCGTGCCTGTGAGATACCCGACATTCTGTCCGTAGTTCCTCCTGATCGGCAGCTCCCGAGTTCACGATGACCCCGGAAAAACGCAGCCTCGGGCTTTACCTATATTGTCTCTAATATTTTCCTCTAATTGACATGTTTATACGTAAATAAAAGATTTATTCCAGTAATCAACACCGATACAAAATGAGACGATAACAGGCAAGCATACTTTCGTTCAAAATCAACTTGAAATACTTTGATTTATTTGTAGCATGCAGACTTTAACATTCGACAAATGCAGCATCTCGTCGGCAGTCTGTCATTAGCTTATGTTTATGCGAGAGATTTAACTACCAGAGTCAGTTTTTAAATGGCGCTGTAATATTTTAAGAGTCGCACAGCAAGACGATTTCACCTGTCATACGTTCAGTCATCCATTAGAAAAATCGGCGGCTGCCTTGTTACATATCCCAGTAACTGGGTGGTTTTTGCCCGCTGACAGACATGTGCGAAGTCGCAAGCAATTTTACGAGTATAGCTCCTGGTGGAAAACCCCCCCCCCCCCCCCACCACCACCACCTCCCCCAAATGAATAAATATGTTTATAAAAAACTTCCATAAAGCCTACGGGAAACGGAGAGCGTGCTGTGGTTTTCTCATTCTCCTTTGTGTCTCTTTGTAAATATATCCTACGAGTGTCTCTTATCAGCAACAGGTCAACGTGTGGCTTATTTCAAGAATTTTAATTGCTTTCCCACCAGCGACATTTTTAACTTTTCTCACATCACATAATAAAGCAATTCTTAGGAAGTATTTCCTCTAACTCTCTTTCAGTTACTAATGCTGTTTGATAATCTTTCCCGTTCACCAGAAACAAAAGACATTCTCTAGATTTCCTGCCTCTGCAGCACAGACAAAAACCCCAACTTCTGCCAAACTTTCCAGCTTCAAATTATCACCAATATAATAGTCCTATATCTTGGAGAAATATCACTGCCCCCTCCCCCCCCCAATGGTACAGATATCAGTGATTTTCAGTAAGTCCATTAGAGTTTGAGCTGAGCACACAAGAGTCATTCAGGACACATTTGCTGGTGCAGCTGTGCGATGTTTTAAAATGCACCGCGCAACTTCCCGCTTCCATAACAAAGACGTCGCTAGAGGGAACTTTTACGTCGCACAGAACTTGCACATTTATTTTTGAAAGCGACCTACAGTGTGTCACCAGCCGTGAGCAGGACGGGTGCAAGCTAGCATGCAGACCTGGGGACGGGACGGGTTGTCACCCACCTGGCCGTTTTTGCAGAGGTCTGCCCACATGCTGGTGCCATCTCCGCCTCTCATTAGTACATGGTACACAAAGAAGTAGGTGCCTGGAATGCTGCAGATGAATTTCCCCGAGGTGCCGTCGTAATTGTTGCCCACGTTGGTCACCACGTCGTCAAACTTCAGGATCTCGTAGCCCTCGTGTGGGTTCTTAAGGCCGGCGTAGAAAGCCACACGTGGGATCGTAGTGTAGGTAGCTGTGCTTATGGCGCTATTTTCCCCAAGACCCAGTATCCCGGTTCTCCCAGGATCGCCCCTATCTCCTGGAGGTCCCATGGGCCCCGGCGGTCCCGGCTCTCCAGGGGGCCCCGGGGGTCCGGGTTTGCCGGGACGGCCCGGCTTCCCTTGTGGGCCCTGCACCAACGTGGAAGGCAAGCTGCTGTGGTCGCTCAGGGCCTCGGGCTCCGTGCCAATGCCGTTGGAGCTGGTGGTGGCTGTGCCCTTGTTCAGGTAGGGGTCGCACACCATGCGGCAGGTGCCCAGCATCTCATAGTGCCCAGCGTCGGTGCCCACGGAGCTCACCAGCACGGGGATGAGGACGACCAGCACCAGGATGAGCATGACCCCCACGGCGGCCGCCACGAGGGTCTTCCTCCCGATGCTGAGTCGGGGAAGTGGCTGAGCTGCCAGCGTGGGTCTCCCCGGGGCAGAAATTTTGACGAGTGGGTTCAGGCGACCTGCGACCGGCAAAGGAGGGGACACGCGGATCCCAGGAGCGGCGGCCGGCGCAGAGGGGAGAGGGACGGACCGGCGACCACTTGCTCTCTAGCGGAGACACGCTCGTGCACACACTCCAGCGCGGGGAGGGAAGGGAGAGGGAGGAGGCGGAGAGGAGCACGCCAGCCAGAGAGAAAACCGAGGAAGGAGAGCGAGAGAGAGAGAGAGAGAAAGAAAGAAAGAAAGGATGGCAGAGGAGAGAGGATGGGGCGTAGAGAGAGGGAGAGAGTGCGAGGGATGGACCCGATCTGAGGAATCACAGTATGTTTGTGTTGATTGATTCACAGGCTGCCTTTTTATAGAAAGGCAGCTGAGGAACCCCCCCCTCCGGTGGGGCCCTGGCAGGGATGCAGGGAGGTGCAGAGGTTGCTGCCTTCCCTGTCAGACTGGAGGCGGGCTGGGGTGAAGGAGTTCCATCACATCGCATTAGTCTCTAACCCGTGATACTCCCAAGGGTGTAATTAGTGTTCTTCAAGCCCCCCCCCCCCTTTTTTTTTTTTTTTTACTATTTGAACATTTATTTTCTCTGTTTATTCAGAAATTGAAAATTTTGTCAAAAAATAAGGGAGAGTGAAAAAACAGATTGGCAAACCTGTACAGCGGTACCGGCTAACTTTTCAGATCGGGTGAAATCAATCGGCTCCGCCCTCGACAGGCGGATCGATCTGGCACAAGGTGACACGTGTCATTCCGAATTGTGTCACAGAGTGTCCCTCGTGCTTCTCGACATCGAGTCAAGGGCTGAGGACGGCGGATGACGAAGGTATGAGATTTACCAGGATCACAAGCCAGTGTATAACGAAAGCTGGAACACAGACGCTGAAAGTGGCGGAAATCCAAAAAGATTGTGAATGCAAACAAATATTTGGACAAATATCTTTTCAAAGACATTCATAATTATACTTTAAAGATATCTGCATCGATCAAAAAAGTATCTTACCAGGGTTTCAGAGAAAATTGATTTGCTAGAACTATGTGCGGTTTTTTTTAGATTTAATTTAAACTAAGTGTGAACAGTCTGTTTATAAACTGTCATGAGGTACCTTTATCTGAGAAAAGTCTGGCAGAAATGAGTAAAAAATAAACACATCTCTAAAAAAAACTGTAATAAAGCCTTCAACAGCGATGTCAAATTTTAATTAATAACAGCGTGGATGCCGTTTGGCAAGCATGGCCACGGAATGTTTTCTGGACTGTGGCCTGAATCGGCTTTTCATCTTGAGGGACATGAGATTGATGGTATTTGACTAGATGATTGATTGAGTGTTCCTGTGTCGGACTGCTCCCGTTTTTCCCTTCCCTCCGCGTGCTCCAGCACTTTGTATCTGTGCCCACCGTGCACGGCACGGCTCAGCGGGGGGGGGGCCTTGTGTACCGTGCATTCGAACTCCTCACACGTCGCCACTGTGAAGAGATAAAGGTCACATGCTCAGCCAAATGTCAATCAAGTAATCACAAACACGAAACAAAGGTGAGGAACTGGAAAATCGGCCAATTTCTCTCCACTCTCTCCCCACTGGGGTACCAAACGCTTTGGTAAAATGAGCCAGACATATAGATGAGTACTAGTGAAGTTCCATCCGCTTTACCAAGGTGTGTTTACTCACAGAAACATTAGCCACACAGAATGAAACCTACATTCATGCAATGAAGGGTGAGTCTACAGCCACTTAGCATCTGCTGCCGTAGATGAAAGTTGATTTAGGTGTATGTTTGTAAAGCAGCACCATAGTGCTGTACTTGGTAACACTGTAGCTATCTAAGGTTTGGGGGGGGGGTTTGAATCCCATGCAGATTTATTTTGTGGATACTGTATGTTCTCCCCATGTTCTGCAGATTTCCTCCCAAAGCCAAAAGACAATTAGGTTGCAGTGCAGTGGACTGGCCTCTTACTCAGCAGGTCCCACACCTTGTGCTCTGTACTGGAATAGGCTTCAGGCTCTTTCTTATCCTTTCTAATGGATAAGCAGTTATGGAAGACGATTGGCCGACTCCACAGCTGACAAATGATATAATTGGATAGCTTGAAAGTGAGCAACCTTGTGGACAAATGACCTAAAACATGGCCTTTGTGTGACCGATGATGAAATCAGTATCAAGCAATTATCTACCAAGTCAACTGAGAGTTTTCAGGACAGGTCAGAGAAGGTATAAACGTTCTGATATTAAAGGAGCAGAACTTCCAGCAGAGAAGAGAAGGAGCACAACAAGTGATTACATGTCCTTGTCCATCTTTCTATTTCCAATGAACGCTTGTGGGATGCAGAGGACAACCTAGATGAGATATTAGGGTATGGAGAGAACGTTCAAACTCTGCCCACATATCCATGGAGCCATGAGGTTCCCTAGTTTGCTAAAATATCTTGGTAAATATGCCCCTATTAGCATGGTGTGGCAGGTCACATGTCATACAAGATCAGCAGCAGGTCACGTGCCAAACAGGACCAGCACCAGGTCACGTGCCAAACAGGATCAGCACCAGGTCACATGCCATACAGGATCAGCACCACACACCCGAACAGCAACCAGACAAGAAGACACTCAAGAGGAATGTGTATGACCAGCAATGTCAGCACCACAATGGGTAGGAACATGGAGATCTTCACATGGGTTATATTAAAAATGAGAAACGTAGGAAGGGAAATTTCCAGTTGAGCTGCTGGCTATTTGACAAGAAAGGGTTAGAGATCAAGAGCTACATCACCGAGCATGTTATCTAAATTACTTCTTAATTGCAAAGGTTAAATAAAGTAGTTCTGTAAATGTAAGGGCACCTCACGCCCCAAATGCCCCTTGCTAGACTGGCAATGCATCAGAATAATGATGCCACGCCATGCGGGTTCTCCAATTCTCCATGGTTCCGCTGCTTGCTCTGCGCTTTGTTCCCTACCTCTTTAGTGAAGTTGGCACACTTTTGAAAGGACAGGAGCTTTCTGGCAGCCAAAAACAATGAGCAATTATTGCAAAACAAAACCCTTTAAATGGAAATAATGTCCGTCTTCTTTTAGCCACCCAGTCATTTGATTTTGATGATTTAACAAGCAATTACCCTTATTAACGCCATTGCTGTCGGTATTACCATTATTAAAACCAGTAATGCCATTGCTATTGGTACTATTCCCACCATCTTAAACTTACTGTTATTACACAGGATCATGTATCATCACTGGGGTTTCCAAAGTCTCCTTCACTCAAGGTTACAATAACAGCAGCATCTCTTGAGTTTAGAGCCTGGTAGTTTGAAGGCTGGTCCTTAATTATGGTATTGCCTATGATACACACTGGGTTTACTGGGAGTACATATAGCACTGGGTTTCATTTCCATTGCTGATGCGTTGCTACAGCGATCAACATTCCAGTCACCTTAGGAGGATGTAATATAGTCGGTTTATGTTAATATTTTTGTACAAGTGCATTATATGTTAAGCAGACATTTAACTAAAAATACACACTATTCCTTAATGTATACCCTCTGGACGTCTTTGAATCTTTTCAGTCCTTGTTTTAGTATTATTGTGATTCACTTGTGTTTGCTCCTGTGCCGTGTCAGAAAGTCCTCAACCCCCAACAAAAACAGCATTTCACATTACTGACATTTAAACGTATTGGCCTTTTTTAATATCAGGTAGGGCTATTGATTTATTTTATTAAACAAAGTCAGTGACTGAAGAGGAACAATTGAAGGTGTCTGATTTCTTAGGGATGCCTCACAAGGAGGGAAATGTTAGAATCAAATACTTTTTGCAGTTCTTTCCACAGAGATCCATTCGCCTGATAACCCAAAGCCATCCCGTTACACTCTTTCATGGTGCCATCTATCTATCTATCTATCTATCTATCTATCTATCTATCTATCTATCTATCTATCTATCTATCTCTTCTCACACCCGTGCAGTTCAGTGAGATGGCGCCGTTTATTTTCATGGTGGCAAATACACTTAGAAGACACATGATTTCACAAATTTACACCATTCCACCAACCCCCAGTGGCCAGGCAGGCAACCTGTGCGCTGACCCTCGATGTGCAGCCGGCGATGTTGGACAGCCTGCACTCTGCGGCTCCAGCTGGGGAAGCTGCCGGCTTTGTCCCTGGGCTCCTGAGCAAAGGACAGCCAGGCGTGCTTCCCCCGTCACTCCTACACGCACATCGGCGAGGCACCATGGCGGGAAGGTTACACAGCTGCAGCTGCGCGGCTGCGCTTGCCAGCGTGGATCGATGGAGGGTCGGGCGCGAAGCCTGATCCCGTGGCAGGGTCGCGTTTGGAACACTGCGTACGGTTCCAGCACGGTTACCGGTTTACTCCACTCGCTTTCGCAGAACCGAATCTTTCCCCCACGCTGTCGCTTCGGCTCTCTGCGAACTTCTTGTGCAAACAGGGACTTGGAAAATTCAACTGGCATCAAAAACTGGCATCAAACAGATTCAGTAGAAAAAAACATGCAAATACTGGTTCAACGTGTGACCCAGCCCTGTGCTGCCTGAGATGAGCTCCAGGCCCCCCGACACTGGCCAGGGGAAGTGGTCAGAAAATTGATGAATGGGCAATAATATTCCTGTATGTTTGCAAGATGGCTTCTGAATAGAGGAAGCGGGCTTTTCCTCAGTTCCATGCACGCTTACAGCTTTTGCCTTTCAGGTTCCATTGTCAGTGACCTGATCCACCCCCATCCACCCTCCAGCACCTTTCCTGTCTCCTGAATTGCGGTCCGGTTGTTTGCTTTAACGCGAACCTCCTCCGTCACTGAGTGACTGGGAAATCGATGCGCAGCTGAGGCCAAACAAAGAGGCAGGAGGATGAGGCTGCCGTGGCATTTCCACAGAGGGTGGGGAAAGGGGGGGGGAATCAATGGGTGTTTCTGTCATAATTTTATTGCAATTGACCTGTCAGCAAAAGCAACCCCATAAATTACAGAACTAAGTAGCAGTAAATGATTCGTATTTTCATATATGCCGTACATTCCAGACGGCAGAATGATGACACAATAATCTGTCAGCGTTGCTACTGCGCTGTGCATTATGGGTAATTCACAAAACTTGGCAACTCCATTAGTTCGGAAGCCTATACGTTATACGTTATAGCTACGTTATCTCGGTTCATGTGAAGGCTAAGGCGCAAACTTGGACATGCAATGGGCGGATAAAGCCTTGTATAGCGCCGGGCGTAGTTGACTTGAATTAGTTAAATAAAATGCTAAATCGAGTCAACTGTCAGCAAGCAACTTGGGGAAATGAAATGTACACGAGATCAAGA